GGTGCAAGAGAAAAGGACGAGCCGCGGGAGTCTGTTAGATTGGGACGCTGGGCGTTGTTTAGTGAGTTGAGTGTTAAGTTGGACATGGAACTCGTCATGCTTGGAGCAGCAAACGCGGAGCTAGAGTTTGAAATTGTGGAGGAGTAATTTGATGTCAGGGGTGGAGGAGAGAAGCTCTTGGCTGCTGTGCTCGCGGCGTTGGAAGAAGAAGACCAGCTGAAGCTGGGTGCTGCCGCGGCGGAAGCGGGCTGCGACGGCGTCGGCTGCAGCGGCTGGCTGAACTGCGTCGACGTGGGCGTCATGACCTCGAAGCGGTTGAGGTCCGGGGTGACGGTGCGGAACGACGACTGCTGGCTCTGCAGGGCGAGGGGCTGCTGCTGCTGCTTCACGGGCGGGCTCGTCGTGGGCTGCGTCGACCAGGAAAAGGACGGCGTCTGGGGCGTGGCCGTCGACGATCGACTGGCGGCGGCAGAGGCCACGCGCGGCGAGTCGTCCCACGTGGGCGTTCTCGTGACGCTAGACGAGCCGCCGCCGGTTCTTCCCTTGACCAGCGCTTCGAAATCGTCCTCGTTGCCGCCGTTGGTGGCGTCAAAGGCGGTGCCCGTCACGCCGCCAAAAGCCATAAAGTCTTCGTTGGCAGCGGCCGTCGAGCCGTTGGCCGAGCCGGAGAGCTCCTGTAGCTTCCTCGTCTGTTCGTCTTCGACTTTGCGCGACAGCGTCTTGATGAGGTCCATGAAGGACTGGAACTGCTGGAGGTTGAGGAGCGGTCCCAGGCTCATGGTCCACAGGATGGGCAAAATGTCCATGGCCACGAACTCGGCGTCGGCTGTCTGCCCGACGACGTACATGAGGTCGCGCGCGGCCATCATGACGGCGGGCTCCTTTGTCTTGATGCCCTTGACCAAAGGCACAATCTTCTCCTGCATCGTGTATTTGTCGAGAGCGCTGGATGATGAGGACTTTTTGCTTCCTTGCAGGCCACTGAGACCTCCGTCGTCGACGCTGGAATCGTTGGAGCCGCCGCAGAGAACGACGAAAGCCTGGAGGCCGCGGACTTTGATGGCGAGACTGTTGGTCCGACTAAAGACGGCCGCGACGACGGGGAATAACTCATTCTTGATGGTG